CAAGTTTCTTGATCAGTAACTCGTGGCTCACACAGTCAAATGCCTTTGTTAGGTCAAAGAGAGACATTTGTGAGACTCGTTTAGATTCAAACCCCTGCTTCACAAACTGTAGCAAGTAATTTATGGCTGTAGTAGTTGACCTGCCATTGCGGAAGCCAAATTGACAAGTGCTGAATAGGTTGTTCTCTTCAAAATACTGCTGTATTTGTTTTTTCATCGCCGCTTCAAAAATTTTACCAAAAATTGGGATGATGGAGATTGGTCTATAGTTTGATACCTCATCTCTGGGACCTGTTTTATGGACTGGAACCACTTTTGCAATTTTTAGGCAATCAGGAAATATGCCTTCGTTCACAGACTGGTTGATGAGTTTACAAAGGGGATAAATTATTATATTTTGCACCGTTTTGACGATTTTTAAATTGAGGTTGTATGGGTCCCTACTCAAGGTATTTTTTAGTTTTGAAATAATTTCTCGTGTTTCATTGTACGTTATTTCCCTAAATGAGAAATTTAGGTTTCCAGGAATATTGAAGTTTTCAAGGAATTTTAAAGGATTCACACTAGTTTGTGGTAAATTGTTCACTACGTTAGTACCCACATCACTAAAGAAAGAGTTAAATATGTCAGCTGTCAGAGTGTTTGGAATTTGTCTTTGTTTTACTGGGTTGTAGTTCTGTATTATGTCCCATGCAGCTTTTTGAGTGTTGGAAGATTTCTTCATGTGGTTATCATTAGCCTGTTTTTTGTACTTGTTAATTTCAGCTCTGTAGATCCTCCTGTAATCCTTTAATGTCTCGTTGCTGACGATGTTTGAGTTTTGCTTGTTTAAAAATGTTAGAAAATGAAGAACCTCTCTCCTTTTTCTTATATGATGGTTAAACCAGTGTACTTTGTATGACTGTCTGTTGTTACGAGCACTTACTTTAGATTTGCTTCCAAAAGACATGTCACATGCTGTTGTGATAATGTCAATAAATGAAGCAAACTTGTGATTTACAGTTTTGTTAGTACTGGAAATGAATGACCAGTCTGTTTGTTCCAAGGTGTTATAAAGCTTGGATAGTCCCATGTGTGTAATTGGCTTGTAGATAATGCGTTCTTTGGAAGATGTATCCTCCGGTACAACTGCGGTGTAAGTGATCATGAGGGCACTATGGTCTGAGAGATCTGGTTGCAGGACTTTTACATTGTATTTGTGAGAATCGAGGTTAGTAAAAATATTATCTATACATGAATCCTGACGCGTGTTCTCAAAGACAGTTTTGTTTAAACCAAAAGATAGAAATAGGTTGAGCATCTTACTCACTCTGGAATCAGGTCTAGAAAAGTGTACATTGAAGTCTCCTGTGATGATGATTCCCTGTGTGCACTTCAGCTTATGTAGTAAATCAGCCATACAATGCAAAAATACGTCCAGGTTGCCTAGCGGGGACCTATAAACAGTTATTATTTGGATGCCATTATAGCAGATTCCAGCAACTTCAAAGTCCTTTTCAAGAGACATCTTTGCAATATTTAAAGACAAATGGGTATAATTAAGGTCACTTCTGATATATATGCCAACCCCACCGTGAGCATATATTTTCCGACAAAAAGAAGAGGCACTATTATAGTTTTCGATACATGTGCACTCGAGTTCACTAGAACGTAACCAGTGTTCATTTAGACAAAGTATCGCTATGGTTTTATCCGCTAGGTAAGCATCAAGGATAGATATCTTGTTGCTTAAACACTGAATGTTTATATGGAGTATGCTCATCGTTGTAGTTTGGTTGATGATATTGTTGCCTGCGCTTAATGCTGGGGAAAATCCGCTCCTCTGGGTGCCACGTTGGGATGTTTTGAAAAATCGAACCTTTTGATACCGACTCCTTCAGGCCAAAAGTTCGTGTCGTATAGTACATCTTTTAAGGCGAATGGTGCTGACACTACAAACCTCTTCAATCTACCAGGCTCTGAGGGGATTTCCTTTACCTCCGCTGCTGCGTCTTTTAATTCGTCTTTGCTGGATACGTAGGCATGGATCATGTCTTCATTTACATGAGGCTTTACTCGATATATGTAAAGCCACACCTTTCGTTGTATGCCCGAAAAGCCCTCCTGGGAGCATGCAGCTGTTCCAACTCGTTTCGGAAATGCTTTCTTTGGTATTTCCGTTTTAACAGCTTTGGGTTGTTCGGTTTGAAGCGTTGATACCACGATACTTGCATTTTCATTGTTCGCTCTCGTTTTTCTTGTTTTTCTTTCGACTAGTGTAAAATTCTCACATTCACTGCCCACTGGGCTTTTCCCACTTGCGTATTGATTGTGGCCAGTATCGTGCAGGTGTAGTACCTTGTTCATTATGTTTCTTTGGGTTTTTTCGAGCTGTAGAATGTTCTGTTCTTGGTATGTCGCTTGCTTGCAGTATGGTGACGATTCCTTGTTTACTATTGTTGGAGTTGCCGGTTTGGGATGTGGAGGGTTCAATGCTATCAGAACATCTTTGTAGCTAGTCTGCCCTTTTGTCGTGTGTTTGGTATCCTTTGGAGCATCGTTTGTCTGGCGTTCCATTGCCAATTTTAACATATCTATTTCACGAGATAGATTAGCGTAATTTTCAGCAAGGGAAGTTTTTAGTTCATCCCTGATTGTATCGGAGATTATTTTAACCGAAGCTATCTCCCCTGTATTACCGTCTTCTTTTTTTTGGTGGTCTTTCAAAAGAGTGATTTCTAGTTCCAGGTACTCGATTTTTTCCTTATATAGTTTCTCTTTTTCTCTGAGATCAAGGTTCATCTGCTTAAGCAATTTATTTTCAAACTTTATTGCATCCATTGTAATAGTATCAGTTGCATTATCTTCTGCCATTATAGTGTTTTCTAGGTTATCCATGTTATCATTCAGATTTTCCTCAACGAGGTTGGGATTATCACAACAGCTTTTGGTTTTTTTTGCGGAGCAGCTTCTATGAAAGCATGTGTTACAATTCACTATCTTGGTAACAGTACCTTTTTTACAAAAACCACATTGCTTACTTGCAAGTACACTTTCATTACCCACCATTTTATAATGAAATGGAAATGGTGGCATAGTTTTCCCTTGGAATTCGGTAATTAACTTTAAGAGGGATCTACCGCTCACTTTTACTGTAGCATTTCGAGTGTTCTAAAATAAGGTGCCATTTTGTTATTATTAAACTTACGAGAAAGCGATTTGATTTCATGATAGTAGACACTTTAAACTAAATGGGTAAAGGCTTATTTTCCGATTTATTTTATTTATTTACCCAAAACAAGCCTGTAAAGTTCGCGTTTTTAGAGAAAGTTTGAACGAAGTGATATAGAAATCCAAGACAAAAAACAAAAAAAGGCGCATTTACCCAGATAAAGTGTACATTCAAGAACCTGTTCAATTTTTTTGATAATTTTCCGTTCATTGGTTTACTAATGGCATCTTATTTTTGAGACCCTTACATTTGCTAAAATCGGTATAGATGAGTGGCGCAACACACGGCAGACCGCAGAAGTGTTGTATGTAATAAAAGTATCATATTACGATGTGGAGATACGACATCATTAAAATAAAAGCAGCTATTGTATTCGCAAAAATTTTATTCAGTTAAATGATGATTAAATATCTCGGGCAAGTATAAAACCATGTTACATTAATATACGAGGGTTTTCACAAAAGTTTTAAATTTTAATAATCTGCATTTGTTAACTTGTGAATGGTTTTTTGATACCTACTTTACGGTAACAAAATTTACCTTACGAGTCTGACAGGAGCTAAGGTTTGATTATTCAAAAATATACTACATTTTCATTGAAACTGTAAAAATTAGCAATAGGAGGTCATTCAGTCTCACAAAAACACCCTGCAAAAGTAGTTTTATTTATGGCGAAATTAATCTCGGATCGTCTAAATCGTTTCAATAGTAAAACAAATTTAATTCCTGGAGGGATTTCTTATTACATTGTCTGGAGGTTCTCGTGTATAGCGAGGATCCACAATTTCTGGTAAAAGGCAATTAAAATAAAATTTATGCAATTTAGGTAACATCTTTTCTTGCCAAAATACTTCATCTTTTTTTATTTTTTCAAACATCATATCTTTTTTTGTCCAAAGAATAAAGTAACAAAATTTCCTATTCGTAATTGCCAATTGCCCTTGGATTTGATACATGTAATTGTGGGACCCTTTCAATTTCAGTTGTCCTGATTCTATTGTGGCATACGTAATGATTTTATTTTTTATAGCGTCCGCAATAGTGGAATCTCGTGCAGAATAAGGACATTTAATTTCTATTATAGTATCACTATCTATTACCCCATCTGGACTAGCACCTAAGAAATACAATTCCCCACTTCCTATAAAGAAACCACATTCGTTTACTTTGAAATCAAATTGTTTCGCAAAAGATAGTTTAGCCACAGGTTCGTGGGTAATTCCGTAATCAGTAGATTTCGACGATGTAAATGAGGAGTACAGTAACAGTTTCACACTACTCACACACGATGTAGTAGAGCGCATTTTGCATATTTTACCAAAGTTTGAGGCTGTCAATCTTATCGATCTTTCTTGTTTCCACACAGTATTGGAACTTTGCCCACGAGTACGAAATTCAATGTCCTTTATTTCCGCGTTAGTCTTTTTTAACTTTTGGACGAATAAGGCTTTTTGGGAGTTATATGACTCTGGATCCATGTCGCTCTTTTCAGGGTTTGGTATTTCAGCAGCCAATGGACCATAATCTTCGTCTTCAAGTTCGATAGGTTTTGTTTTTTTTCTTCGACTTTCGGGAATAAGTCTTCGCTTGGATTTTAACTTTTTTTTTCGGTTTCTTTTTTGTATAAATGTTTTAGTAATCGTACTAGGACTATGGCCAGTTAATGCTTTATGAATAACATTATGAAATTCACCTTTGGTGTTATATGACATGGCAGCCGCTTCACATCTGGTTTCATATGCCCTTTTTCGCGAAAAATTAATCCTCTTACCTCCTAAAAATTTACATACTACGGCATTGTACTGCTCTGCGTAATTATTTGTCATGTTTAAGATTAAACTTTCGGCATTGTGTACTAATCGATATATACAGGACATAATATCTTGAAATAGTCCGCATTCCTTCATTGGAGTAACGAAATTTCTCTCGTTTTGTTTGGCTCCACTGCAAAAATATTGTGCACACTCGCTATGACTACCAAATATGTGAGAAGGACTATTTGTGATGTCCTTTTTTAAATTATTTGTTTTTTCGTTATCATCGACGTTCTCCGATTTTCTATAATCTATTGCTTTTACGATAGCCATTCTCAATCTCATAACGGAGGTTTTTAATTTTTGTCGTAATAAGGGTGGCACACTGGTATTTGAATAGCTGCTTCTTGTATTTTTGGTCAAAGTAACCAACTTTTTACAAAAGTTTCTAAGTAGGTGGTTGCGACATTCTACTTTCTTAACAACCCTATTTCCATAAGGTTTTGCTTCCAAAAGTTTTTTACTGACACTGCTGTCGCCATCGCCAATTAACTTATTATAAATGATTCCGTGTATTTCCATACTGCGCCGAAACCCTTCTACAATAATATCAGCTTCCATACTCGTAGAAGTTCCTTTCCAGTTTTTGAAGCAGGTGTGATCCGGAATGTCAACTCCTTTTGACATATACAGCTCACAAACTATACAATACTTATTTCTAATGCCTATATATAATAGTTTTTGAGATCTTACACCTATAATACACCCAACACCGGAATTTGCAGCGTAATTCGTTCCATAAGATCTTTTACACCAAGCCCCATCCGCGATGACCGATACTAATGGTATACCATTTTCATCGACTTCGCCAACTTCTTCGGCCATTCTTTTTTCCTCTTTTCCAGCTATTTCCATTTCCATCCAAGCAGACTTGTGGATAGTCTCGGCCAACAAACTGTGGTGTTGTGAGTACAGTCGATTGGATATTGACGGAATCGCCATCGCAGCATGAATTTCTTCCAAATTAGAATGCCCTATTCCGGTTGATATAGCACTTAAAACGGCACTAGTGTTTATATCTAGTAAGGAATCATCAGTACAATTTTCTGAACTAATTGTTTGTATTACACCGCACATTTTACACTTTAATACAAACTCACTTTTAAGTCCATTTCGTCTTTCTTGCATAATTTCCATGTTCACTAGTGAGCAATTGAATGGTTGATGTAATTCGTTTGTCAGAATTTGTCTAAAAAAATGGGCTATGTTAATTACTCTCCTTCCTACAATGTTTTCTTGTAATCCTGGCATATCAGCAATATTATCGGGACTATTATTTTCCGGTTCGAATGCTATGTTTTCCTCGATATTTTCGTCTTCTTGTTCGACCGTAATTTGTGAAGTTGACGGAAATGCATAAGCAGTCGATGAAACTTCTAATGTTTGGGAAAAAGAAGGTAATGGCATGGGGACGTCTTTCGTTCTGTCCAATTTGGTGTTCCGCATTCTGAAAACGGTGAAAAGATATTTCTAATACATTGTTGATGCATTTTATTACCAAAGATATTACAGGAAACCAATATAATAACAATTATACTTGATTGAAAATCGCTTTACGTAAATCGTTTACGATTACTCTTTTTACTTGTTTTACTTGTTCGGTAATGCAAATGCAAATTTTTGTTTCGAAAGTCAATAAAAATCCTAAAGGTCCTATTATAAAACTTAGATAATCCCTTAGTAATATATGTAGGTACTTGTCCCAAACGAAACATAATCTACCCCTATTTTGACCCCTTTCCACCAAATTCGTTACGTATTAGTATGATCATGGACTAATTATTACACTAATGATACACCATGTATTGAAACTTACTTACCTTTGCATTTTTTTCTTTTTACTCTGACGATAAGTGGAAGAAGTATATCTTTTCCTTCGATCCATGATGGTAAACACTATAATAAATACGCAAGCTAGATGTAGGTGAACTTTTCCAGTACGCGCTATGTTAAACTTACCAAAACGTAAGAGTTGTAATAAACCGTTACAAAATTTTGAGAAAAATTTACGCACACACACCAGTAATTTCGTCCGTTTTGGACACAACTAAACTAATATAACTATACTTATTTATAACAAAACTACAACTGAACAATGTATATAACACCACTTGTATCTTGCTGCGAGTGCTAACAAGCAGTGGCAGTTTGTATAACTTTTCGGCCGAACCATCATAACATTTGCCTTCACGCGGGGAAGAGAGAGATTTAGGTACCTATTACATTTTTCATAAACAGGTAAAACGTAAAAGGCAGACACTCCATTGTTTAATTATAACCAAGTTGTAAATTCCCGGCTTCTTTGAGTTTTACAAAGTAATAAATACACAATTGACATAGCGTGTTGAAATAACTTGGGCAGGTAGGGTGGTACCTGAGCACCTATGTATTCCTTCGCTTCTTGCTATATCAACAATAGGAATTATTTCTCCGTATTATTCTAGGAACAACCTGCAAGTAAAAGTACAAAAATTAACCGGCTACACAATTAAAAAGCCCGATTATTTCACGGCAAGTATAGCTTATTTAATGGTATGTTTAAATCCGTAAATATAAAGTAATTAAAATATTTATTTCGGTAACATTGTATACAATGTATATACGCAACTTGGAATGGCCAAATATAAGCTTGAAAGTCCTCGTATCATTCGTGTCCTCAAACTGCCTGTCAAGTATATTGACGGAGTTATGTAATAAAAAAAGATGCTACTTGATTCGTATGAAGCACTAACAATAATCATTACATTTGTATATTGGAAATGCATTATTTGGAACGATGAAAAATAAAATGTTGTATGCACCTCAGGCATTACTCAATATTTAAGCCTCGGGTGACTTACAATCCCTCGGGCCGGAGGCCCTCGGCATAAATATCGCCTTAATGCCCTTGATACATAAATAACTATTATGCCCTAGGGCATTAAGTATCGCCATAGTAACTCATTTATACTTAATGACAAAACAAACAAATATTTGCAGGTCATTGAAAATTAAAAAAGTCAATTATTAATTGTCAATACCTACTAAATCACAAGATTGGCCTTATTCCGAATAGTTTCTGGAACTTCTTCCTCATTTACCATAAATTGAATTATTTAAAATTACGTTTGACGTTTGGATGGTTTCAATCACATTAACAAATTCGAACCACGCATACTTGATCAAACATAATGAATTATTTTGTAAACGAATATTTACTTTGAGGAAGAAAACTATTTGTAAGACATAAAATTTTGTATACCACGGGCATAAACTGAGAAACCAATTTCGGAAAAAAATTCAAAGGGCTGTAACTTTTGAACTAGTAGCCCAATCTTGGAACTGTTTGAAATTATGGATTCTACAGGCCACATTCTATAAGAAAATTTTTTTTCCGGGTCGATCTGAGACAATTTTTTTTTCGGGGCCTCAAAAAAAGGCAGTGTATTACCTTCCTTTTTACCAAAAATCGACTCCAAAATTTCTCGGGAAAACACTTTTTCTTATTAATTTTGGTGCGTAGAATCCAAAACAATTCGTACTTTTTCGATCAGACTTCTCAATCAAAAGTTATAGACTAGAAACCAATTTCGAAAGAAAATTCAAAGGGCTGTAACTTTTGAACTAGTAGCCCAATCTTGGAACTGTTTGAAATTATGGATTCTACAGGCCACATTCTATAAGAAAATTTTTGTTCCGGGTCAATCTGAGACAATTTTTTTTTCGGGGCTCAAAAAAAGGCAGTGTATTACCTTCCTTTTTTCCAAAAATTGACTACACCAAAGTTTCTCGGGAAAACACTTTTTCTTATTAATTTGGGTGCGTAGAATCCAAATCAATTCGTACTTTTTCGATCAGACTTCTCAATCAAAAGTTATAGACTAGAAACCAATTTCGAAAAAAAAATTCAAAGGGCTGTAACTTTTGAACTAGTAGCCCAATCTTGGAACTGTTTGAAATTATGGATTCTATAGGCCACATTCTATAAGAAAATTTTTTTTCCGGGTCGATTTGAGACAATTTTTTTTTCGGGGCTCAAAAAAGGCAGTGTATTACCTTTATTTTTTCCAAAAATTGACTACACCAAATTTCTCGGGAAAACACTTTTTCTTATTAATTTGGGTGCGTAGATGTTTATACTCTCGGGCGACTTAAAAGCTCTCGGACCTATCGGCCATCGAGCTTTTTAACTCGTCGCCCTCGAGAATATAAACATCACTATTATACCCTTAATACATAAATAACTATTATAGGAATATTATATAATATATACATCATTCTATCATTATTGCGTCCATACATTTACCAATTACCACATTATTGCGTCCTTCGAACTATTGCGTTCGGACGCAATAAAGGCATCGCCTGTATTTCCATGTTCCCGCCATTTTATCATTCAAATACTATCAACGAAGGATGCACCGGTTTAACAGATTCCTATAGCACAAATCAGTTTTGAGACATCTCTTGCCGTTTTCGAGATAGATAACGAATTTTTAGTGGACGCCATAATAGTTGCAATACGTACGAAGTTGTATATTTTTAGTTCAGCACTTTGCAGCTAGGGGCGGTAAATTAGTATACGCTTTCAAGTATACGTTTTACAAAGTTGGTATATTATTGCGTCCAACATGGGGCAACACTGTAAGCTATTTATAGACATCATTTCCATAAGATAATCATCTTTTTATATCTTAAATGAGGATAATTATTATACTCTCCATTCGGAAAGTACATTGTTGCATCCAGATACGTTTAATTATAATGGAGCTGATCTCCAAAAATGTAACAATTCAAAAAATTCTATTCAATAAAATTGTTTAACATATAAGGTGGTATTTGGTTATCAACAAATTAAAGTTCGCTTTTGAATATTTTTGGTTGATGGTTAACAGCTGGTCCCCCTTTAAGGCTGGACAGTACATACAGAACGGAGTATGTAAAGTTGCCTATTGTCAATCCCCAAATTTGGTTATTTATAATATTAATTTGTGTTCGATGGTAAAAACATAAACTTAGTCCAATTATAATGCATATTTTCTATCTGTATAAAACCAGCCATGCGGCGGAAGCTATTTTTTCGCGCTTTTGAGGAAAACTTTTAAGTTGTTTTTCCAAGATAACTTATCTATAAATGAAGTTGGAACAATTTCCAAAATTAAGATACGTTCGTAAACTTAATATCTAGGCAATAACGCCAGGAAAATTTATTTCTTTTTTTCTTTTCCAAAATATGACACCCTAACAGCCCTCGACGTTGCCCTTAAAAAAAAGCTTATTTTAAAGCATTTTAGTAAACCCCGGCGTTATTGTCTAGCTAAAGCATTCACCTTTCACAGGAATATTCGACCCCTTCTTCATCTTCACTCAGAATTAAGATATCGTGGAACGAAATCAAGTATTTTCGGGCAACGGAACGGGTGTACTGTCCAGCCGTAATGGCTGTAAATATTAACTTGGGGAGGTCCAATTGATGCGTGACAAATTTTTACTACAAGCGTACACTTTTATTTTGTTTTGCATTATTCCGTAACCCCGAGCTGATCTGCGAAAATGTAAAAATTCAAAAGATTTTATTCAATAAAGTTGTTTTATTTGTAGATAAGGTAAAAGTAAGTAATTATAGTAATAAATGAATGTTTTCTTATACGTGATCGATTTCGCTTTTATTTAGCATCTTCGGACCTTTATTAATTGACGCTAAGGTCCGAATATGCTAAATAAAAGTAAAATTGCTTCTCCATAGGTATGCGTTTAAAGCTTCTTAATGTTTAATGTTTAAATGCTGTTATGCTATTATGAATGAGCGGAAAAACCACACGCAAAATATAAATATAATGGTAGGTCGCAACTGAAGGTTGTACTGATCTTAACCCACCCCCAGGCTCGAAATGAAAATGACAGATTTCACGGAAAAGTGGCAACGTTGCAATCCCAGTATCAAAACATGGTTCCCGCCTAAAATTCAAACAAAACGTGATTGGATCGTCTACGGTAGGGCCCCCTTACGTTACCCTTATTCTGAAAAACCCGGAATTTGGATGTGGTACATTAAAAGCAAAGCAAGCAAAACCTAAAGGTGCCGCACTCTCGCAAAAGCAGACTACCAAGGCGAAAAAGAGCGCGACTTGAGAAAAACCTTGGCCGTGAATAAAACCCAAACTATGTTAATCACAAGCAAATTAAAACACCACCACCACCTAAGCAGAACATGTAACACTACCTTAATTAATTCATGAATTCAAGTAGCAGGGTACGTTTGAACAGTATGCGTAGAGTATTCGTCACAACATGTCATGTACATACTTTCCTTTAATCACGGCTAGAAGGTAACTCACTTTTTAGTTAGTCATTGGATGGTGAACCTGGTTACTTGTTAGGTTAGGGCCAGCGTCTTAGCTTGATTGCCCTCCTGTTTCACGGTTATATTGTTAGGAATTGGGCCGGAATATTTGCCTATCAGCCCGTAGCGCAGTTAAGATTGTTAGGGGCAACACACTCACGCATTTATTGATATAAGTCACCTTACTAGTTATTCGTATCATTGTATATCGAATAGGATGGTGTGAAGTTTGTAAGAACACGTCTGATCTATTATTCATGTTGTGACGTAACAATAGGCAGTTATGACCATACTCAGTGTGCTTGTGGAGCCCTCAATTATGCTCAGTTTCCACATAATGACATTGGTATAAAACCCAGACTTCCGGAACTACTACCTGTGCTTCGTAACACTCCCCGGACATCGGTCTCGTAACGACACAAAACTGAAGGTGGTTAAGAGATGGGTCGCCGCCCATGGGCAGGATGGCCTTTGTTACAGCACTTCATCCCTAAAGTTGGAGTTTCGACGGCCCTCGGATTCTTTTATGCCTTAGCTCTAGAACACCTTTCTATTCTAGCGTCCGAGCTCCCTCTCACGGTAGAAAGATATTAGTTACATACAACAAGGCACACACATTCGCGAATGTTACGAGTCACCCTAAACTAAATACACCTAGCATTGCATGCCCTACTTCACGGAAGTCGAGGTTCGACATAGGTACACCCCCA